CTGGTGGGTTTGAACCACCAGCCTTCTGGTTAGCAGTCATATGCCTTAGGCACTACACCACCAGAGCTCCTGAAAAGTTAAAAGGGGTAAAATACTTATCATTGATTGATAAAACTCTCATAGGGATTTACACGTGCTTTGCATAAGATATAAAGCAGTATTTGCATGAGTTTATGGAGCATGCAGCTGATTTAAAGTAAAATAAATTCCTTTATCTCTTTATCTGAGCATTCAACTTATTTATTACTATATTTAATTTTTCTGCATTTCCTAATTTGAACAGACATACAGCCATGTGATACTATATTGTACATTGTTCTTTTCTGAATTATTTCAATGTCAAGAAACAAAATTACCCTTGGATCAAGCAAGTTCAAGTTCATATATCCAAAACATAAATAAATCAAAACATATACTTCTAAGGCATATACACACACACAGATGTACATGTAATGCAACATGTAACTGTGTTGTATCCTAAAAGTTTTTTGGCCAGTCAGAAGCTAGGAACTTGGAAACATTTCTCATAGAACTAATCTATAAAGGTAGCTTAGGTTCCTAAGTCATTCTACAAAAAAAGCATTTAATCCATAGTGCTGTAAGTGAAGTTGCTGTCATTTGCCACTGAGCCTGTGCCAATCATGGTGACCCCATATGTGCAAAGCAGAAATGCTTCATAGGGCTTTCAGGGCTGTGACATTTTGGAAGCAGATTGCCAGGCCTGTCTTCTGAGATGCCTCTGGGTGCATTCAAACCTCCCAACTTTCAGTTTGTAGTCAAGCACTTAACCATCTGTGCCACCCAGCTATCTCCATAGGTAGAGTATTAACATTATTAATACTATAGGACTTAACTCCTTTGTGTAACAGGAGCTCTGGTAGCGTAGTGCCTAAGGCACTTGACTGCTAACCAGAAGGCTGGAGATTCAAATCCACCAGCCACTCCTCAGAAGGAAGGTTGGGCAATCTACTTCCGTAGTGATACTGCCTCAGAAAGCCAAGGAGGGGTAGCTATGATTCAGGTCAACTCAGACTCTGAAGGCAAATAACAACAACAACAATAACTTTGTATAACAATATACTTTAGGGCAAATGTGATAAATATTCCAATTAAGAGGCAAGTATCTATCTTGCCTACAGTGGATTAAAGACTTTCATGACTTCAAGCCACTGAAAGTGGTCCCTATGGCCTAAAAGAGGTAAGTTAAGGCAGAATGGAGGGCTTTTTAGAGATAGTAAGAGAAATGAAAGATAAAAGAAAAAGGAGTTATAGAGATTAGAAACTTCATAGCAGATTAAACCCCCAAGTAAACTGGCTCCCTCTCAATAGCAGGTTTTTCTGAGACACAGGGATTGGCCTACCTATTCTTTCCTTTTTTAATTTTACTACCTATTGTTTCTGACTGATGTTTCACCTTGTCTGGTCCACTATGGAAGAAGCTGCAGTCTCACAATTATTCTCCAGCCCTGCTGTTCCTCAAGCAAGCATAAAGCCCATTTGGCTTTTGAAAGATTTTAACTAGCAGTAGCAACAGGAAAAAGGTTATTAGAACTTTCTACTAACAGCATCACTTTTCCTCCCCCATTAAACCTTATGGAGAAAAACAAAGGCAACTTATGTACTAAAGGTGAGTGGGTCTCTAGGTTGATAGAGTACTGAAGTAAAACATTTCAGAGAAATATTTAAACTCTGTTTACATGAAGCATTTTCTCACAGGAGCTTAACAACAGATGAAAATCAAGATAGGAAGCTAAGAAAAGGGAACTGGAACTGCAGATCAAGCAACAGTGGGTCTGGAAGAGGAGATTTAGCACTCTTTCCTTCTGTCATCAGTGCTTAGAGTAAGGTAAGAAACGAACAGAGTAGGAAGGAGTACAATGCCACAACAGAAAAAGAGGAAAAACAGAAGAAAGGGAGATTTAAACCCTAATTAGTGGAAAAAAAGAAAAAAAGAATTTCCAGGGCCTCTTGGCTACCATCTGGGGTTCAGTTTGAAGTAAATAATTTATGTAAGTTAAGAATAATTTACATTTATAGATTTTCTGACTTGTAAGAATCTCAGGAACATATGTCTCATAAATCATGAGAGATGCCTGAATATACTGTAATCT